GCAGCTGGCAGCTGACGCCACGACCGCTCCCCGGCAGCCGCTGCAGGCCGCTGGGCTGGGGAGCTCCTCCTGCTGAAGCCATCACAAGGCCCGGGCCGCGCATGCTTGCGCCTGGTCCCTGCCCCGCTCGCGGCTGTGAGCCGCTGCTCGCTTGCTCGTTTCCCGGGGCAGAGCGTGAACAACGACCGTCCCCGTATGCTGCAAATGGCGCCGTAGGGTTCACGCCTGTGCTCATCGGGGTTCTTCTTTATTTACCCAGCACTAAACCCTAGGTAGAAGTCTATCTGGGGAGTCAGTAGAAGGAAACACCAGCAGCTGAGTTTAGTCTTGCCACTAAAGCATCCGCAGCAGTTGCCCAGATTTTGAACCCACGTTTCTTACCCCCATTCTTATATTACTTGGTTTCAGCGTTACGTACTCTGACTCGGTTCACGCGTAATTCCATGCAAAACCTCCAAACGGCTTCAAAACAAAAACAGAAAAAAAACCCCTATGGAGGCAAGCGGGCATTTCTTCCTCAGCCCAAATAATGTCAGAACTCTACTACCACCGTGAGATCAGGTGAAGCAATAGCAGTATCTGCTCGCTTATTCTGGGGATAGGGGGGTTAGCTGCTTAATTCCGCAGAGTTTTTAGCTAGGTATCATGAACCAGGTAAAATAAACAGAAGACTGAGTTGGGTGTTGAGCAGGAACACCAAACCAGAGTGCTTTGGGAAACTTTAATAATAGAAGTTTATCTAACTTGCGGAGTTAGGCAACAGCTGACTAGCAGATTTTAGTATCCACGTTTTGGATCTCAGTGCCTTAGGTAGTCGTTGCACAGCTGAGCTCATCTACAGCCCGGAGCTGGCTGCTGATCTGGCACCGAATGCGGGGCCGTGTAGCCCAGCCCTGCTGTCTGGAGGCTGCAGGTGGTGTGCGGGCACAGTACACCACAGCAGCTGGACTTGCTGCGGCTGACCACAGCTCTGCAATCCGGTCTCTGTGCAAAATCATAGACATAGATACTCTCCAAACTCCCATCTGTATGCTAGTTAAGTTCCTCTGCAAGTCTGCAAGGGCTATTGAAGTTGTTCGTATCTTTCAGCGAGAGGATCCAGTTCAAAAGTGGGCATTTACATATTGATTATGTTATATGAAACTAATGTCAGTTGCTACAGATGATCCTTGTATTTTTCTTGAGTGGGTGCTTGTGGGGAAGGAAGAATTAAAGAATTAATGCTGGTAAAAAACCTTGGAATGTGATGTATAGTCTGTATTTATTTCTAGATGGCTGTTTCTCATCATCTGCATCCTTCTGTAAAGGCTAAGAATTATTAGGAGAATTAAGTAATCTTTCCTTATTTTTACAGTCTAGAGTGTTGAGTGGTAATGAAATGGAAAACACAGCGAGCCATTCAGATCTCTCATTGGAGTTTCTGTGGGGAATTCTACTGGATGAACATCTGACAAAAATGCTTTGGAGATTTGTTTTCCTTCTATCTGGCTCCTGTGAAAGAGCAAAATACTATTTTACTTCCTGTGGTGATACGCTGCCACATAAATTATTACTGCAGTCTCTCTCTGCTGGCATATTCCCCACTGCTATAAAGTGCTAACAACATGCAGACAAAGCAGATTATATTTGTCACAAAATCCTACCAGTCTGCAACAAGAGACACTTACTGGTATGCAGACTAAGTATTACTAGAGGAGTAGCTAAAAAGCTAGGTGATTCACTACACTACACAGGATCTTTTAAACATGAGGGTACATTCTATGAGAAATGGAGCTGCTATTTTTTCTCTTCTAAAAAATGCAGTTACTTTGTTCCACATTTATATAATCATTAGGCAAAGCAGGAATATCTTGTGGCTGCAGAATGTCTTACAAGGAGCCAGTGTGGCTGCAGACATTATAATGTGGGTGATAACTTAATGAGTTGTTTAGGGACAATCTAGCTCTGGAGATGCATTTTCTGTACTACACACAAGAGGGCTTTGGCAGCAAATTCCTGAGATCTACCTATTTTTTAAAGACTTTAGGATGCACCTCAGTTACATTTCCTATCTTCCTCACAGCCATGTGAGCTAGGAATTTGCTTAAAGAAAGCAACCCAAGAGTATCCCTTAGTCA